CAAATGTCTCAATGGGCTTATCATGATCCTATGAGCGGAAACTACTCACAAAATCATGATGAGCCCATTGAGACATTTGTTCAGAATTACCAAAACTACAACATGTTCAAAAATAGCCAAATCCGCCGAAAGACATTTTCCCATAAGAATGGTGCGGGGTCCTTTAGTGGAATGTATCTCACTTTTTTATTTCGATTAGATTATGGAACCTTTGGCCCGAGCTTTGGATATAATACAGGAAGAAACAGGGATGTATATGGAATTTTTACTACCAGTTCTGAAAACTTTACAAAAAAAAATGGAAAAATTCAACAAAAACGGATTTACTCATTGTCAGGCGCTTATTACAGCTGTTCAAGAAGGTTTAAATAAAAAGTATTTTGTTAATTTTATTGTGTTCTGTTATTTTTAAATAAGAGTTTTACTACATATAGTTTAGAAAATGTCTCATTCTATATTTTTTCTCGTACATCGCACTTTCTCAGAATCTTTTACCGCGATAAGATTCAATGTATGTATCATTGTCAGACATTTATAATGTGATAGAAGAGTAAACAAACTTTCTGCATCTATATTTTCTACATCTTCCATAATTAAAAGATCGCTTAAATTGTAACATTTTCAAAAACATAAAATTACTTAATTTATGGTTGTATATCAATTGCTCACATTACTAATTGGCTAATATAATTGCATTGATGAAATAGTGAAAAATTACTAGGAACAGACTGATGTGAGTGGTATGTGCAATTGAATTGTTTGCAAGTGCGCCGCTCCTATTAATTTATATTTAATTTATTTTAGATTCTCGACATTATTTGAGGATAAGAACTTAATCATCGCAAGCTGTTTGCATCCGAAATTCAAGTTAAACTGGATAGATGGAAAAAAAGGAACAAGCTAGAACTTATTTAGAAGAATTATTCGGTATTAAATCTACTGAAAATTCCCCAGTTAGTGAAAAATCCATCGATCATGACGATTTTTTTCATTTTAACCAACGAGCAAAAGAAATCGAATCTGTACAAGAAGAATTGTACCGTTTTCTGAAGTCTAATAGTTCCAATGTTGACATGTTAAATGATTATCACAGAATAAAAAAATTCTTCATTAAATATAACACGACACTCCCAAGTAGTGCTTCTGTCGAACGAATGTTTACCATTGGTGGTTCCATAGTAACGCCACAGAGAGGGAATTTACACGATGATACAATCGAATATCAAATTCTGTTAAAAATTAATAAAAATTTTTATTAACATTTTGGATTAGTGCTGAAACTTATTTGGAACTTTTAGTCGAATATAAAAAGAATTTTGTTATCTTTTTGATAAATAAAATTACATAACATGTAAATGTAAGCCAGTCTTTTTTTTTAATTGTCCTAGGCTCATCGACATCTAGAATGGACCGCTGATGTCAATGGTGGGGGTAGAAAGACGAATAGAGTGAGAGGAAAAAATAACATGATCGTTCTTTCTCTGTTTACTGAAGCCTGATTGGTTGTTGTTAATCCAACAGTAGTGTAGGGCCCTGTTACGTGCTAGGCTCCTGCTCGGAAAAGAGATGGAACGATCATGTTATTTTTGCCTCTCACTCTATTCGTCTTTCTACCCCCACCATTGCCATCAGCGGTCCATTCTAGATATCGATGCCTAGGCTGCATTACTCTGATGACCCCGTGTATCATCCTTGTTTAATATTAGGTGAAAAACAAGGATAAAATGATACATGAAGGCAGTTGGATAACATTTCTGAATACAGCCCTAATGATATCGATACCAGTAAAAATTCCAATGAAAAAAGTAACTTAAAAATAACTTAAAGTTACTTATTCAGTAACTGCAACTGTAACGAATTACTTTTCAGAATCAATAACTTGTAACGGTAATTAATTACTTTTTGAAAGAGAAAAACTGTAACTGTAATTAATTACTTTTACAAAGTAACTTTCCCATCCCTGAGTATATGTTACCACTGTTTCGCGACAAATGTAAAATTATGTACACCGACACAAACAGTCTTATATACCGCGTCGAGTGCGAGGACATTTACGAGAC